AAATAACTCGGAACTGTGAGATGCTAAAAACCATTATACTGCCATTACTGTCAATATTGTCCGTGTTCTATTAAAAAATATCAGGTGGGTAATGACTGATATCGTTAAAATGGTTGATTGGAAATTGTCATGGCTATCACATAAGTATCGCATAATATGTTTAACGTACCATTTACGTGTTTTATTAAAAGTGTCCCTACCTGTCCATACAACACGGTCCGCTTAGTTGTGTGTGCCTATCTTATTAGTGCAGTACGTATTATTTCGTTAAAATCGATTTGAATAAATGTGAATTGAATTTAATAAAGTGATTAAAAAAAAATATATCTAATTTTTTACTAATTTTGATCATTGATTATTTATTAGTGTAATAGCAGGGTAATTAATAATTGTGACAGATTAAATTAAAATATCTAAGAAAAATATATATGGCATCTTTGCCTGATATCGTTTGGAAATGATAACATGAACTAGGCAATGATATATTCCTTCCGTTATTAGGAATTGTCATCATTTCCTAAATGTCAATATTTCCGGTAACATATACACGTCATACAACATAAATTCATAAATCTTATTTTATACTCGCAAAAGAAAGTATTTTTTTTTCAAGGAAATTGATTTAAACAAAAACATTGAACAATTTAGTGTTTTTATTAAAATGAATTGTCGTCCTGAACGACTCGTTCGGTACCTATCTGCATTCAATCATTGATCATATAATGATATGGCTGTCATAAAATATAAAAATATATAAATTTACCACTGGAATAGATCACATCAATATTTATTTAACGTACATAGGTATTATATTCCTAAATACGCCACTGCATTTTAAGAATACTAAACCTAACCCCCTCCCCCTTCCAGAAATGTATGGTTGGTACCAGTGTTATATTTATATAGACGCCACCGTTAAAACGTAAGCATTTTGTCAATTGTTATGATATTTTACTTACTTTGCAATAGTCATAAGATCATCGATTTCTGTTGTGCCCAATTTCTTATAATTTGCAAATAATGTATTACTACCTCTTCGCCCTGTGCCACGACCGTCGACTTTAGCCACAACAATGTCATGGTTTGTACTGAAATACATGTTCAGATCTAAATCGAATTCATCCAATGCTACATTAAATGTAGGACCACCATAACTATATGAAAAATAAATATTTTAATGAGTTATTTTTAATTTTTAATCCGTCTGATGATTTTAAATGGTATAGTTAAAATTCACTTAAAAATGATACACCTTTATAAAATACGAGTTTAAGTATATCTTTTCTGATATACTACAGGATGGAAGTATAGAACCTAATAGGTAATATGTATTACAAATGGGTGGTCTAAAATTAGATTACACCAAACCCATAAATTACGAACTGAGTACATAATTAAATTAGTATAAACCGCGAATTCGATTTGATCCAAAAGTGCTTATATTAAAGACTAAAGCACAAATTCATTCAGTGGTTACCTTTCGAACAAACCACTCAATAATCTAAAAGGTTCAGATGCATCACTTAATAATAATATACATAATTTATTACATTTTAATGTTATACATAAATGTACATAATATTATAATATTCCGGGGTTTTAGTATAATATATGTATTGTATCTGGTGGTAATCAATATAGTATTTATTGCTGTTTGCATATAGTCATTACTCAGTCAATCAATATATATGTTACGCCGAATTTATGAAATTGCCGATTACATGAAATCGGCATCGCTGTTGTCGACAACGTGAAATCGGCAACTTTAAATGCAAAATACTGCCGGTTGCGTGAAATCGGCAAGACCATTCTTAAAATAATGATAACACATAATTCAATATAAATTAATGTGKTATATTTATGATTRTACATAAACACTGGAAATATAATAAAATCATATTGTAATAATAAATTATGTGTAAAAAGTTGTAAAAAAAAATTAAAAATGTCGAAAGTTATGAAATTATATTAATATGTTTATTTATTACTAATATCGCAATGTTAGCGCACTTGTCGATCCGTTTGCACTTCACACACTGTTAGCTATTTCTCCAGGTAAAACGAATGACTGAACACTATAAATAACTTATATTATTTTATTATTTTATCAAAGCAATACAAACTAAGATAAAATGTTTGTACTTACCTATATGATGGCATCGTATTATCGTCATAGGGAATAAAGATAATGGCTATTGGTAATGCCAATAATGAACACGCGTGAAATTTTGATTATTTATATAGGTATTATATTATTTATATAGGTATCACTATTTCATATTTGGAATGTGTTACCGAATTCATGAAATCGGCAGAAAAAAGTGTRCCTATTTCATGAAATTAGCAATCAAAATTTGCCGATTTTGTGAATTTGGTGGCATAGTTGCCGATTACACGTTGTCGGCAACAGCGTTGCAGATTTCATAAATTCGGCGTAACATATAAACCGCGATTATCTTTTATAAGTTCGCATATATCTATTTTTTAGTATTATCTCTAGCTGAAAATATATTGTTAATATATACATATTGTTTAATAACAATCAAAATTTAATATCATGTACATTGTACAATAATTATCATTTATTTATATTATATTTTTTTAATAGAAATTTATCTTATATTTTATAATAAGTGTTCATAATTATATGCTTTTGTTTTATTTATTAAAGTAACTTAATTTGCAGGCACGGCGCCAAGGGGTGGCAAGGTGGGGATCTACCCCCCCCCCAAAAAAAAAAAAAAAAACAGGTCAGCCTCCTTGACAGCCCCCACTGAAAAATATGTACGATATAATAAAGTCATATTACATTATTTTTAAATAAGAGCTACATCAAAGAACTTATGAAATATTCCTTTTTAGTTTTAAAAATTTTTAATTCATGAAATACTTTTGTATTAAGTTTTGGACGTTATAAAAACTGATATAATAATATTTTTATTTTATAAGGGCGTGCAACGCGGCGTAGGTATTAATGCGTCGACATGCAACGCCTGACTTACGGTCTATTTTTTAAAAGGTAGAAAATAAATAATAATAATAAAATTAAATTATTACGTTAGATAATCCTATGATTGTATATTTGTTATATTATGCAACTATTGCAACTGATTATAATTGTGTTTTATTTTTAAAGTATTTGAGACATTTTATTAGATTATTACATGACGTAATTTTAGAATTATTTATTATGTTTATATTCAATACGTATACGCTTACACACTACACAGTGTATACTGAATAAGACATCAGCAGTGGTTGAATTGGAAAAAAAAATAAAGGTGGACTCTAAATGAAGTTGAACAATTAAGCAAATTATTTTAATAGTACCCCTATATTGGCTATATTCCTTGATGAATATAATAAAGGGGTACGCTATAATTTGAAGAAAAATGAAGAGTAGCTCAGTCCCCCTGCGTCCTCCCCCAATTCAACCACTGGACATCAGTGTATTTAAGTGTCGTACTGTCGTGTACCTACTAGTGTGCGTCAAAGTTAATTGCATTAATGATGATTGAAACAAATTCATCTGTTCATTACTAAACACAATTATTTTCATTTATATTTTTTATGAAATGTAGGTAAGTAAAAGAAACATAATTATTCATTCATAAAGGTATGTAATATTAAAGTCATAAAGAAATTATCATTTTTGTATGTCGTCATGTTATCATTATGAATATAATAATTGTTGAAGGTCTGTGATTAAACATTTTCTTACACAAGGTACAAAAAAAAATATTTGACATTAGATATTCTTAAAACAGTTTTAACTATTAAAAAGTCTGTATAGTGTATATATTATCTGTTTAGATGTTTAGAACATACAATATAAAACGTATGTACTATATTATATAGCTAATAGCTATGCATATTATGTTATATGATACGAAAATATTTATATTTCATTTAATAACCTCAGCATATTTTGTTGAAACAATTGCATCCCACGTAAAAAAATATTTTGCCCACTCTGCCCCACCCCTGGAAAAAAATTCTAGTGCAGTGCCTGTTAATTTGTACTGAATATATAATATATATATATTAATAATAATTATAAATATTATTTTAAATATTGTTAATTTAAAAGATTAACGGGTATATTGGCACTGATCTATAAGATCTATTAACCCTGAAAATGACCTAGTACAATTTATGTATAATAATTAATAAGGTAATTTCAAACTACCAATTTTTCACTCACATAGTCACCAATCCTTATTTTCCTAATCATTAACTACAATAATTATGATGATATATTTAGAAAATATTTACATATTGTATCAAATATAATTAAATGCGATTCGATTTGAGTCTCTATTATTTAAAATATTTTATTAATTATTTTATGACGTCCCACACACCAAATTTCTATGCACGCCACTGGACTTCATTGCATAGTTGCTTAATTGTTATTTACACACATAATATTTACTGATTTAGGAAATTTATTGAAACGTATAAAATAAAATATGTATTATAAATAATGTTCAAAAATTTCAAGAATTTATTTTTCCTAGATGATACAGTTAATTATCGAGTTGAATTTCTCAATTCGCTGAACCTTCCTGGGTTTATTAATTTTAGTCCACCAAAATTGCGCAATGGAACATGTCAACGGATTATTGGTCTACAAAATAATTTGATAGAAGCTGCAAAGGGTGAATCAGTTATTATTCCTTGCATACCAATAATACCATCAGATTATCATTTACAATTCAAGAAAATTCAGTTTCTTGTAAAAGTATGTTTTATCATGAAAATAAATACATCACAAGGACAAACTTTGAAATTTGCAGGAATCGATATAAGAGAAGATTGTTTTTCACATCGCCAATTATATGTGGCATGCTCCAGAGTCTGTACGCCCACAAGTTTAGTTATTTTAGCACCAACAAGAATTACAGCTAATTTAGTTTACAGGGAAGTATAATAATAACACTAAAAATAAGCTTAATAAACAATTAATATATATGACATATTTTTTTAAACAATCTTATTTAAATTTTATTTAATTAGGCAATATTTAATCTTACCAGATAACAACAATACATAAACCCAGCAACGACGAGTAATTCAGATAGTCTTGTATATTATATTTTCTCTAAATCGAGATCGGAGATCAAATATTGATAATCACTAATCAGGCATAAAATCATTTTATTTTATTTACCATTTAGTGATGATTATATGAAACATTCAAACATGTCGAGAAACATAAAAGAATAAAGACAATTTAAAAAATAAATTTTTCAATACTTCAAAGTGAAAGTTTCATGTGAAGTATTTCATATTTATATCCTTATATGTATTTATTAATTTCATAGTTATATCTGTCAACGAAGTTGTTAATTTTACAGTACTTACTTTTTTTACACAATATAAGCACATATTTTTATAGCTTAATACATTAATATTTTTATACCTATACTTACGTGTAAATTAATAAAGGATATTTATTGCCCGATGAAATATCAACTGTTGGTGGAATTAACAATTTAACACGAGCTTCATAGTTATCGGTAAGTGGAACATTTATAAATGTCACGTGAGATAAAGCGACATTATGTAATTCTGTTGACAGTTTTTTATTTGTTTCCCAAGCAGTTAAATAGCCACCATTCTTGAAAAAAAAAAATGTTATGTATTGGTAGGTAGTATTATAAATAAGTATTAAAGATCGAAATTATTGACTAAACTGTAAATATAAATTATGTGACAAAATGCATGAAATGTCCTGTTATTATTTTAATTATTTGGATAAGATATAAGTTAATACTTAATTTTGAGTTATCAAATTTATTTTCATTATTTTTTAAGTATAAACTTATGGCTACATGTTTTATATAGTTGTTTGTTTAATTTCATATTTTCATTAATTTTTATTTTTCCTGTTTCATTAAAATAATGATTATTTATAATTTGGGCCCGGAATAAATTGTATGCATTCGCATATTTTTATTTATTAAATAAAATGTAGCTAGATAAGACACAAATTTGAACAAATTTAGTGTGATGGTATGCAAAATTAAATGTTGCATATTTGGAACATTTTTAATTTTTATGCATATTTTACCATTTTTCTAAATTATAATGCATATTTATGAAAAATAGTATTAAATTATTAATACTAAGCCTTAACGCGATGTCCTATGTAAAACCTGCTAAAACCTGCGAATGTGAAAAGAAAAAACTTTGCTAAAAATCGACATACATTTTTATTTGGAAATGTATCCAAGTCTTCAGTAGTTTAAAGTTAACTGTAACTCTCCAGGTAACTTTGAAATATTGCATTATAAAAATATACCAACTAAATTTGTTTTTAATGATTTTTATTCACGAGTTTTTATTTAGATGAGTGGATATTCAAAATACAACATACTCAAGTAAATACATCATACAAAATACAATTAAATTATATCAACTAGGCATTTAATACATTTTTTTGTTCACATATTTATGCATATTTTAAATGCATATTTTGTACATTTTTAGTGCATATATTCCGGGCCCTATTTATAATATATAATTTCTTGTAGTAATGACCTAATAATTAATATACCTACCTAAACWAAATTAAATTAAATTAAATTAATTAAAACCATTTTTGTGGTAAAATAAATTAAAATATTTGAATCTATTTGAAAATCAAAATATATTATGATATAATAGTTCAATGTTAATTGATATGAATATTATTTTAATTTATTCCTGAGATAATTTTTTATATTTTCAATAGAATTTGTGTATTTAGTATTCAACATAATTTATACCCATCAACATAGCTTAGAAGTTAATTGTTGCGGTAATCGATAGTGAACCATAACATTTAACTATAATTATTTCAAAAAACATTTTCTTTGTCTACAAGGTGGCAGATTTAGCTAATAATAATTGATGACAAGTGCATACAGTTTTCATTATGTTCACATAAGGTATGTTTGGCCCCGTACATATTTGTGCATAATAAGTATTTTTTTCACTGAACTCTGCTTTGTTGAAAGTGCATCCCGTGTTACAGGTCAAACACTCTGGTTTAGCCGACTGATATTCCAAATTTATATGTACCCTGAACACGTGTTGCACTTCGGAATTGTGCTCTTCGTTGGCTAAATAATATCTGGAAAAATTATAATTGCAAATAACATAAAATAACGAAAGATCTGTTCAAAAAAAAAGGATAAAACTTTACTGGATAATTTTAAGAAAGACAATAAAGTATTATCAATTTATACTACCAAGGTAAAAATAATGATTAGGTATATCATTTTAGTAATAATATTATGTAATAGTCAATATATACATGATTTTAATAATCATTGTTGGCTTCAAACTTAAATTGGTAAATTATATTTATACAGGGTGATTCTTTTAAGTGGGTACACTAATTATCTCAAAAAGTACTTACTTTTCTCAAAATATTTTTTTACATGGTTTCAAGTTGTTAAAAAACCAACGTTTTTATTAAAAAATTATATTTTTTAATATTTTTTATCTTTATCATTATTTAAGTTTTTTACTTTTTTGAATGACAAAATAGTAATACAGTCTACAGAATTGTTTAACTTTACATAATATAAATTTTAAAAACATTACCTATTTTATTATTATTATATTTAAATATTAAATGGTATGTATTAAACAATATAGTTATTTATTTTTTGTATTCTGTATAATTAATAATTATATAGTTCTTGTATGTTTATTAATGTATCTAATTTTAACTTATCTATACTACATAGTATACAATAAATTGTCCAACTATTTGTTTTATTTTGTAATTGGAATTATTTCCGCCAGTAAAAAATTATGAATATTATAATATAGTACCTATGCACTTAACTAGGGCTTACATATAATTCAATTCAAAGTCCCATTTTATGAGTTTGTCGACTTCAAATTTACCAGTGGTTATTGGGATAATTTTGCCACTCGATATCACACAAACATGTCTGTAAGTATCACCGTCATCTTGTTCTGTTGGGTATATTAACGCAATCTGGTTCTCAGAATTTATCACGAGTGACTGTCGAAAATTGAGCCAACCATTTTCTTGTTTAAATTCCATAACCTGTCAGATACAATTTAGAAATTATGTTATATGCATTACATTTAAAGATGTCACAGTATTTTTACTCACTTCTTTAACTTCAGCCGTATTATTAGAAATATGATAATGTACGAGATGAGATTCATTTTGAATTCTGTTCATCCACATTACAAACAAATTTTCATCGTCTGACCATTCAACTGTATATAATACTGTCTCATTACTAAAAAACATATTTTTTGATTGTTTTTAATTGCTTAGAATTACTTTTTAAGTTTTAATGTCTATATTATATTGTATTATTATTTATTTATTTATTTATTTATTTATATATATATATTTACGAGCAAAGCCCTTTACAACAATTTAACACAAAACAATAAAAATTAAGATACCATATAAGAGTTTAAACATGATAATAATTCAATAATAGTAATAGTAATAATATTAATAATAATAATAATAAATAATATAAAATAGTAATAGTAAAGTAGAACAAAAAGAAAATTTTAAATATTAAAATATAATATGATAAATGATACTCTCATTGAACCAGCCGTATCATGCGATCAATAGGATTATTTCTGCCATTATGTTTTTTTAAATTTTTTATTATTATTATAAAGTGTTCCTGACATGCATGATTATCAAACTTGTTACATATTCGGCATTTATATTATATGATATTACACGTACCTATACCGTTTATACTAGCAATAATCATAAGTATCATATTACGATYGGTGGGGACTGTCCATCGGTTATTAGCGAGTATAACTTTAATGTATGCCATTACGATTTATACTTTTAACAATAACTGACTATATAATATGTTATTATTTATATTAATAATACGTAACAAATTGGCGACGAAGAAAATAATAATTTAATCTTAATCACTAGTACATTTTTGGCAAATACAATCGAAAACAATATTCAAAATAGGCAATACTATTATCCAGTGATGTATTCGTAATTTTTTTTCTAGGGTATACCCTAGTGTAATATATGAATTATACACCATATTATACTTATACCCGACATACGCTGCAGTAACCACAGGCTCAAAACCCTCTTCCTCAACCCCTCAACTTAACATACAATCGATTCTCTCCCTACTCACAAACCTTCTGACTGCTCTTTCAAACAACCAGGATTCAAAAACCTTAATTGAGTCCACCATTAGATTCTTCCTATCCATTCTCGCTCCCCAATGAATAATTTGAAAATTCTCTTTTGGAACTCCAATGGTATAAGCAAAACTCAATGAACTTTATTCCCTAGCTCTCTAACTGAAATCTGACATTATCTTACTTAACGAAATTCATCTATCCCCGGCTACCAAACTTCACTTTCCCAACTACTTTACCTATAGAAACGACCTACCCCCTGTTCGCGGCTCGCCCGCTCATGGAGGTACGGCAGTTCTCATTCACCGACGCATTGTACACCAGCCCGTGACACTGAACACTTCTATACAAACTTCTTCCGTCCTCATCAAATTAAACGACCTCGAGGTACTTGTCTCAGCGGTATACAAACCACCCGGCGCCACACTCACAACCAACGACCTAGACCTACTGACACAGAGAGCGTGCAATGGCAAATCTCGGCAGGTGACTTCAACTCCAACACCCCCTGTGGCACAGCCACTTGACAAACGCGGCCGGCCGTGTCCTCTTTGACCATGTGCAACATTCTGACTACTCCATCACAGCACCCTCATCCCCAACGCACTTTCCAACCAACGCCAGGTACATACCTGACATACTTAACATCGCCCTTGTTCGACTACAATAAAATTCGGTTCTTCTCAAATCTGCTAACTTTAAATCCATTCAATCATCTATTCAGTCCCAGTCCAAACTTATGTTCTACAAAAATTCCTTTTCAGACYATGATCATATCCGCCTTCTAGGTAAATCTCACTCCCCCCCCAACTACCAAAAAACAACTTAAACCTTACCCGTTAACTTGGACTAACCATTAAAAACTTCCTTAATACTCTCCCCCCACTAGTAGAGGTGAAAGCCTGGTATAGTTAACGGCATAACCATCCCCCCAAAGCAAAGCAAAGCAATGACCACACACAGTGCAACACGGAAGTCTACGCTACACCACGTCCATGTAGCCGACAGCGATCCATATGCCACCGAAATCTTTATTAAAATCATAACCAGTTTTTATTCTATGCGAAGTTAACTTTCAATATTGCGTTTATTCTATCACCAGGTATGAGTCTATTTTTGTATATTCATCTATGTCCGTTAACCACAAAAAACTGTCATTCTCTTATTTACTGTGTTACCCATGCGATCCTATAATGATTCTAATAACCATAATCTATTGCTCTTCCAACGATCCATTCCAGCCAATGAATATTTCACATGCTTAGAATTTAAGGTATGCGCTGCTTGGTATTTCATTGTTTATTAAACTTTGAATAAATTATCAAAGTATATTTGTAGTTACATTCTTAGAGCTAAGGAGTGGACAGGATACTCTCTTGGCCCGGCTCCTTCCTCATCTGGAACTTAACTACAAATATATAAGCGAGATAAAATGCATACACACTAAGAATATGAGGTAGGCGCTGCTTGGTATTTCATTGTTTATTGAACTTTGAATTATCAAAGTATATTTGTAGTTACATTCTTAGAGCTAAGGAGCGGACAGGATGGGTAGGTATACCCACGGAAGTTAAAAATAACTGGGATAGATGGGAAACCAGAATTTTATCTTTAATTATTTTATATTATGTATTTTTATATTCAGTATTTAACGGAATTAWTTGTCATTGTAATATAATATAATAAACTAACTGACGTAGGTACATATGTAATATGTGATTAAAACCCATTAAACGATTTTTATTTTATTACATTCAAATGTATTTTATTTTTTAATATTAATATTATACGATACAAAATGGCAACGTCGCACCTATTTTCGTGTTCAATCGTGTTGTTTTTTTTGGGTTTTTTTGGGTTCCAATTGTTTGATTCCAACCATGCTTAATCGGGTTGTGAAAAAGGTCAATCGTGCTCAGTATTCCTATTGCTTAATTCCAACCATGCTCAATCGGGTTGTGAAAAAGGTCAATCGTGCTCAGTCGGGTTCCAGCCGTAAAATGGGTAAGAAAGAAAGGAAAAATAATATAACACAAAATAAATTTTTGTATGATAACGACGATGATAATGAAACAGTTAATTATGATCTTTCAAATACTTTTTTTTCCATAATTGATCAAAATTCTCAAAATAAAGAGGTGAAATCGTTTACAGTAAATTTAATCGTAGAAAACAATAATGTAAGCTTTGAAATTGATACCGGTTCACAACACAGTCTAGTTTAAAAAACATTATATCATCAACTGTTTAGTCATATCAAATTAAAAAAAAAAAAAAACGATATTTCGCTATCTGATTACGTCGGCAACGACATTAAACCGATGAGAAAAATATTTGTCGATTCGGTGTACCAAAATAAAAAATTTACAATGTACCTTTATGTTATCGACAATGGTGGTCCTCCACTAATAGATCGAAATGATATACAAAATATAAAATATTTTACCTTGTTTAGTATTGAAAATGACGTAAGTGTCGATAGTATTATAAAAAAATATAGAAAAGTTTTTAAAGATAAAATAGGCATTTTTAATAAATATGAAATGTCATTAAACATCAAAGCTGGGGTGGTACCTAAATTTTACAAACCTAGGTCTATTTCTTAAACAT